TGGCTGGTCCCCATTCCTCTCTCCCCAGTGTTGAGTGTCAGAGCCATTATGGCGTGAGGGTGTGATGACCATTTGCATATTAGCTCTTTATTATATAGGATCACTCTATGTCGTTACTTGGCATCTCTGAGTTTGTAAGGTCCACTATGCAGGCCTCCCCTGAGCTTGTCAGGTTTGGTAAGTAGCCCTTTTCCTCCGTAATCCTTTCCCCTGGCTGGAAAGGAAAGGTGGAACTCAAGCCAGCAGATGCCTGCATACAGATTCTGGAGACACCGCAGGCTGTGTGGCGTCACGGTGACACAAAACAAACTGCTCATCTGCTTTGTGTGCTAACTATGTGTCCCCCACTGTGCCAAATTCTTATTTCTTTTAAAAATTATGTTTTAGTGATAAACGTTAAAGCAGCTAGGTGTGTGTGGGGAAGCATTAAAGACATAGCTCATTACAAGGGCAAAGACTCTAATTCTTCTAATTCCATTGTGATGCATGAATTTTCTGCAAGTTTTTCAATGTATCTGCAAACACGTGCACACACAGATGTTTTATATGAGGATGAGACCACTCCTCACATTTCACTTTGTCATTGAGATATCATGAACATAATAGCTTATTTGTTTCAGGTGTACAACATAATGATTGGATATTTGTGTACATAGTAAAATGATCACTACACTAAGTCTAGTTAACATCCACCACACACAAGTCACAGAATTTTCTTCTTGTGATGAGAACTTTTAAGATTTACTGTCTTAGCAACTTTCAAATATGCAATACAGTATTATTAACTATGCCCACCATGCTGTACATCACACGCCCAGGATTTATTTATGTTATATCTGGAAGTTTGTACCTTTTGACTCCTTTCACCCATTTCCCCCACCTCTTACCCCCCACCTCTGGCAGCCACCAATAGGTTCTGTGTATCTTAGTTCTTTTTTGTTTGTTTGTCTTTTAGATTCCATGTATAGAATTTTGTAACATATAAGTGAGAGCATAGATAAGTCACATCATATGGCATTTGTCTCTCTGTCTGGCTTATTTCACTTAGCGCAATGCCCTCAGGTCCATGCATGTGTGCCAGGCCCCTCTCACACACCCCACAGAGGTGTGACCGGACAGCCCCCTGAGCCAGAGGGAGGTGGCTGTCCCCTCCTCGGTTCTTGTCTTCCCGTAGGAATGAATTCAAATGAGTGACTCCAGGTGATTGTGTTGTGATGAAGCCAAGTTACTAATAAAATTAAAGCAAACAAATTTATTCAGGAAGCACGGCAAACAAATCTACTAAACTACATCTGAGCTGGGGCTCAGATGGGCTTTCCCCACTAGTTTGGAAAAGCGAGTCTGGTGGGAGTCCAAGGGGTTACATACCTTCTGTCTATAGTTTTACGTTCCTCTGCTAGATGTCCTGGTACCGGTGAGCTCTCAAGGTCTCCCCTTTTACTGGGTTATGGCTTTCCCACAATTTATGAGAAGCACCTAGTACTTTTATCTTGATGAGCCCGGAGACTGCTGGCTTCACAGTTTAGGAAGAGAAATAAAACTGTCCCCCCCCCCCACCTGGGTCCCCCTAACAGCTGACTTCTGTGTTTACTGAGACAGGCTTTTAATTCTCCCCCGTCTTTCCCTCCCCGCACCTGCCTTGGCAGTTCCTGGGTGATTTTTGCTTTGTGTCCTCTGGTCAGAGAAGCAGCATTGAGATTCCCACTCCCCTCCTGCATCTTTAGTGAGGAGAGGTGTTTACCCATTTGCTCCCAAGTGTCCTTGCTTTGGGGAGATGATGGCGTGTTATTATTGACAAGCTGGCGGCAAGCTCCCCAAACTATTTGGCCTTGTTTAATTTTCTTGTCTCAGTTTCCCTGTTCCTCTTGCTTTGGAATTTTCCTAGCTTCTCACTATCCTGTAATACATCTACCCATGTATTACAAAAAAATATTTCCTTTGTATATAACTTTTTTTGGGGGGGTAAATCCTCACCCAAGGATATTTTTCCATTGATTTTTTTTTTTTAAGAGAGTGGAAGGGATGAGGAGAGACACGGAGAGAAACATCTATGTGAGAGAGACACATTGATTGGTTGCTTCCTGCACAGGCACCAGGGCCAGGGGTCGAGCCTGCAACTGAGGTAACTGAGGTACGTGCCCTTAATTGGAATAGAACCTGGGACCCTTCAGTCCATGGGCTGACGCTCTATCCTCTGAGCCAAACTGGCTAGGGCTTTCATATATCACTTTTTCATATATCACTACTCTTCCTGCCTGGGTCTGATGGAGCGCTTGCAATGTTGAGGATTAACCAGGCCCATTATGCAGATATGAAGACTGAGGCTCAGAGGGGTGACTGGCTGTGCCTGAAGCTGGTCACTCACACAAGGCCTGCCACCACTGATCGGACACACACTTGCCCACTGTCTGGCTCTGGGAGACGGACCAGCCTCTCCCTTTCCCTGTGTGGCTCCCCTACCTCCATAGTGGCTGAGGGACATTTCAGAAGCCAGGAGGCTTGTGTTATTTGGAAGCTGAGCCCTTCACCACTGGGGATGCTCCAGCCTCGTCAGGCTCAGAGTAAAGTCCACACCTGAGCATCCGTTCCCCTTCTATCACCCGATCCAGGAATCGAGGGAGCCCCAGACCTATAGACGCTGCCCTCATGATGGCTGTGGAGCCCTGCTGGGGTTTGAGTTCTTGGTCCTGGCTCCTGAAAGTTCAACACCCACTTACAGCTTCACTGAGGGTGCACCCCACTTCACTGAGGACTCTAGGACCTTAATCCAGTGGGAGGGGGTGGAGGTTTAGAGTCTCCCCAACATTCTACCAGTGTCAGGAAGACTGTCTTTCCCTCATTCTTCTGCACAGCAGCTCTACCAGGACCCCCACCCTTCAAGCCCACCTGTACCTGAGACCACTCCCAGGGCAGTTCAGGACGGGATCAAGGGAGGGCCAGGATCCAGGGAGGGCCAGGAGTGGGGCATTGGGTCCACTGAGAGGATAACCCATGTTGAAATGCAAGGGCCTCAAGCTACCTCCCCTGTGGAGTCACCGTATTGCCCGAGTGTCACCACTATAAAGGTCCCTGGATTCATAAGGCACAGTCCCTTATGGGTGGGTCTGGAGGAGCCTTGCAGAGGGAACAGGCGTGGGACTGGGAGTATGACAGACCTGGGCTCCTTCCAGCTCTACAACTGAGCTTCAGTTTGCTCTTATGTCAAACATTCCTCTTCCTTCCTGGGGATGCTGTCACCTGGGCCTCTCTGCCTGACCCCCAGGAATCTGGTCCAGATGCTGAGGTGAGGGAGGTGCCTCACTTGCAGGCAGAACATTTAGCACATAATAGGTTTATTTTATGTGGTGCACCTGATGCACAGAAGGAGCATTTTATATGAGTAGCCAGCACATAGTAGGCATGCTTTATATAGTAAGTTGAGTACTCAGGAGGCACTTTTTATGTAGAATGTCTGGCACACAGCAAGCATGCTTTATGTGGAGTACCCTGCATGCAGTAGGTGTGCTTTATCTGGAGCTCCTGGCACTTAGTAGGCATGCCTCATGGAGAGTGCCCAGCATACAGTAGACACACTTTATGTACAACACTTAGCACATGGCAGACAGTATTTATTAGAGTCCTTGACACACAGTAGATGCACTTTATATAGCACACCTGACACATAGTAGGCACACTTTATGTAGTGCAACCTGACACACAATAAGCATGCCTTTTAAATTACCCAGTACACAGTAGGCACACTCTGTGGAGAGTAGCTGGCACACAGTAGATGTGCTCTGTATAGAGCACCTGGCACATAGTAGGCACACTTTATGTAGAGTACCTGGCACTGAGTAGGAACGATCTTTGAGGTGTCCAGCACACAGTAGGCATGCTTTATGTAGTATGCCCAACACACAGTAGGCACACTGTACATACAGTCTTTTGAGCAGAGTGGGTTTACTGTCCGTGGTGTACTGATACACAGCAGCACAAGTACCAGCTGTCAGCTCGTTCCCTTCACTCCAACTCCTTTGGGGCTCCTGATCCTTCCCTCCTTCCTGTGTAACCCTCCTCTGTCTCCCCCTCAAGACCTCAGTCACCATCCCAGGTGGAAGACTGATCCCAGAGGGGCCGGCTCAGCCATCACTCAGAGCGAGGGCAGGGTTACACTCATTCAGCGTCTCCCAGTCTGCCCTGCCCTGCCAGGACCCCTCAGACTTCCCCTCTCGCCTCCTGGTGCCCTCTCCCCTCTGGGTCCTTCCTGCCCTGAATCTGATGGGGAAGCTTCCAGCCAGGCTGTTTGCTGGTTTCTCTTCACAGCAGGCGGGTCTCAGTCCAGGCCCCGGGCTGCTGGGAGGCAGGACTGTAACTCCTGTCAGGCTGTGCGCCCGGAGGCCAGAGGCTTTTGCCTCTGAGTTTCATGACTCTGAGCCAATAAACTGTGCACGACAAGCTCTGGGCCGAGGACCTGTGCACGACAGGCTTGGAGAGAGCAGCTTGGCAGAGGTTTGGGACAAGGCTCACCTGGCAACTCAACAGTCAAGTTCAAGCTTTTACCCGCCACACCCTGGTCTCGGGAGGGTAGGGGAGGCAGTAAACTTGGGGGCCCAGAGTCATCTGTGCCTACCCCCAACCTACCCTTGACCCCCCGGGGGGTGCTGAGTCCCGAGGATCCAGTGTCCACACTGTGTGACCCGGAGCTAGTTCTAGGCCTATAGTGACAACACTGTAGGCCTCCTCCCCCACCCTCTATCTGGGCCAGTGCCAATTGGGGTGGAGGTAAGCAGGTGTTTGGGGATTGGTTGGTTTAGCCCAGCCCCTCCCGGCCTGGCCTCCCCTAGGTCAGAAACCGGGGGCAAAGGCTTCCCAGGAGGAGGGAGAGCAGGTTGTGTGGAACCAGCTTCTCCAGACAGAAGGTGCCAGTCTCGGGGTCAGGGAGCTGAGGGTCCTGGTCCAGGGTGGGGAGAGGTGTTGCTCAAGGCTGGGGTGGCTCCAGGGAGTGGAGCTGGCCTGGGAGTTGGGTGGATAACAGTGGGTCATGTAACTGTGTCTCCCTCTCTCCCTCTGGCTCTTCCTCTGTATGTCCCCGGGTGTCCCTTCCCTCCTGAGCCCTCATTCACCCATCCCTGAGCCCTCCCTGTCCTGTCCCAGCACTCACCTGGCCCTCCCTGACCCTATTCCACACACCCTCTCCCTCCGTAAGCTGGTCTCTGCCTCTGAGCTCCCCCTTACCGCCCGTCCTAGGCCCCAGGAGCTCACCCTCTGCCTGCCCTGCAGGATGCTGCAGCTGAGCCTGTCCTGGCTGGGACTGGGGCCACTGGCAGCCTCCCCGTGGCTACTCCTGCTGCTGCTGGGAGCCTCCTGGTTCCTGGCCCGCGTCCTGGCCTGGATCTATACCATCTATGACAAATCTCGCCGCCTCCGATGTTTCCCGCAGCCCCCAAAGCGGAACTGGTTTTGGGGTCACCTGGGCTTGGTGAGTGTGGGCAGCAAAGTGAGTCTTGGGTATTAGGGTAGATGGACTCCCCAAGGGGTTGGCAATGGGGCTTAGGGGTTGGGCTAGGGTCTAGGACAGCAGAGAAGTGAAGTGAGGGGGGGTCACGGGGAGCCCCTCTTTTCTCACTCATTCCTCCACTCTGCCATCCCAGGCCTTCCCCACATCCTGGGCCTCTCCCCAGCTGCTCTGGGTCCATTTCCGTCTGCCTTACCCACATTAGTGCACCTCTGAGGGGCTCCCAGGGTGGGTTGCTCAGAGCTGGGTCCCCTAGGACTCCCGGTGTCCACAGCCAGCCTTCAGACCACCTCAGGGGCACTGCCCAGGGTTTGCTCCTGTCTGGCTCATTTCCGTGTGTCTGCTCACCCCCACCCACAGGGGCACAGCTCTCCGTCCCCTCAACTTCCTGGCATACCGTCCTCTTACCTTACTCTTCTCTCCTAAGATGTCTCAAGGAGCCTGTTGCACAACCTGGCTAAAGTTGGCCACTCATTTCTCTTTTTGGAAGCCTTCTTCAACTCCTGCCACACCCCAGACTTTGACCTTCCACTTGGTCCTGCTTCTTTTTAATTATACAGTTAATTGTCTAATTGCTTATAATCTGGGTCTCCAACTTCATGGTAGCTCTGGGGAGCAGACACTCTATCTGCAGCTCACAGCCCCGGGGCTGACATACATCAGGCACTTAATCATGTTTGAGTCCCTAAGTGGTGAATTTGCCATCACCTCCCTCAGTCAAGGCCAGCTCCTCCCTTCCCGGGACCAGCCGAGGGATGAGTACAGCTTTCCTTTCCTGCCTGGAATGAGAACTACAGCTTGGGGAAGGACATCCTGTGATTTCTCTGCTCACTATGGCCAAGTTCACAAGAGGACATTCCCAAGCTCAGCATGAAGGCTGCCTGAGATTCTGGGTCTTGGAATGGAAGTTCCAGCCGTTCCAGCTCCCCCTCTGCAGCGCAGCCATGGGCGCTGGCCTTGTCACCTTCTCTCCTCCAGCCCCTCTTGCTGTGCGACCTCAGCTGAGTCACTCACCCTAATGGACCAACCTCATCACGAATCCTGCCCTCTGGGTCCTTGGCATCAGGGGGCAGGTCACTAGGGTGAAAGCGACATACATTCACCTGCCTGGGGCACCTGGGGTATTTGTCAGGCTTGGATGGGGCATCCTGAGGGACGGAAGAGGAGGCCTCACCAAGAGGTGACCTGCCCTCCTTCCCCTTAGTGGGGATGTGTCGTCCCTTTCTTCGTTTGTAAATAGCATGATTGGTGGGCATGTCCATCGGTTGAAGAGAGAGAGATAGACAGGACGAACTATGATAGGTAGATAATAGATGATAGACAGACAGACAGAATCCACTATTAGATAGGTAGATAGGTAGACGCACAGACTGACAGACTTGATGCACTATGTTAGATTAAAGATAGATAGATGGATAGATGATAGATAGATAGATATAGGTAGATAGATAGATGATAGAAAGATAGATAGATAAATAGATAATAGATAGATAGATAGATAGATAGATAGATAGATATAGGTAGATAGACAGATGATAGAAAGATAGATAGATAAATAGATAATACATAGATAGATAGATAATAAGTAGGTAGATAGATAGGTAGATAGATAGATAGATAGATAGATAGATAGATAGATAGATGATAGATAGATAAATAGATAATAGATAGATGGATAGATAGATAGATAGATAGATGATAGATAGATAAATAGATGATAGATAGATAGATGGATAGATAGATAGATAGATAGATAGATGATAGATAGATAGATAGATAGATAGATAGATAGATAGATAGATAGATGATAGATAGATAAATAGATGATAGATAGATGGATAGATAGATAGATAGATAGATAGATAGATAGATGATAGATAGACAGGACGCACTATACACAGAGCCTGGCCAGCAGAAGGGGCTCATCGGTGGGAAACACCCTCCTGATTGATGAGCAGAGAGCTCTGTCCCTCGGAATCTGGTGGCAGAGAACATGTCCTCTCCCTGTGCCTGGGGGGCACCCTGACGGCCTGGGGAGGCCTCCAGAACCCACGTTCTTGGGGGAAGGAGCAGAGGAAGCAGATTATCTCCATCCAGGCAAAATCCAGACACACTCTCCATTGCAGAGGCTGCAGGGGGGACCTGCTGTGGCTCCTTTGGGGTGTGACAACCCTGCCTTGCTTTCAGGTCACCCCCACAGAGCAGGGCATGAGGGACGTAACTCAGCTGGTGGCCACCTACCCCCAGGGATTTAGGACCTGGCTGGGTCCCATCTACCCCTTCATCATTCTGTGCCACCCTGACATGGTCCAGGCTCTCACCAACGCCTCAGGTACCCACACAGAGCTTGTGGTGGTGGGTGCCCTGGCACATCTGGGGCATCTTGCCCCTCCCTGCCAAGCTTCTGAGCGGCCCCTGCAGGACCTGGCCCTCTTCCCCTTTTCTCTCTTCAAATCTTCCTCTTTTTTTTTTTTTCTTTCATGTATTCAAACATGCATCTCACCACCTCCTCCCTCTAATGCAGTCTGCTTCTGACCCGGTGTCCTGGGCACCCACCACTGCGGCCCCAAGAGGCTTTAATCCAAGGTTCTGTCTGGAGGAGGAGCTCCCAGTCTTGAGGAGACGAATCGGGACGGAGGGATCCCCGACCTGGTGTGGTCGGAATTGGCCAGAGGCAGGCTGTGGCCGCCCAGAAGAGAAGCAGGGTCTCTCCTGGAGGAGGCTGGGAGGCCTCCTAGAGGAGGAGTGGCTGGAACCGGGTCTGGAACAATGAGGAGAAAGTGCTTAAAGCAGAGGGTAGAGGAATGCAGGGGGCATTGCCAGCATGCCAGGCCCGCAGCCCAGACCTGCCCCTGCTCCCCTCCCTCAAGGCCCAGAGCAATGAGGGCTTGCTATTTCTGTGATGTTGTCTCTGGTGGGTCGGCTCCTTCTACCCCACCTGCAGCTCATCCAGGAGTCTCCCCAAGGAGAGCCCGCCCCCGCCTGGGCCTTGTCCTTGGCTTTCTGCTTTCTCACCCCCAGACAGATGAGGCCGAGCCGGGGAAAAGGCAGCATTTGACAGAGAGCTTGTCTCTGACACCAACATTCTGGTGACTCTGGTTCTCACCGACTGCTGAGGTCTCTTGCAGTTCTGAGTGGTGGAAACTCACCCGTGTGTGGTCCAAGCAAAGAGAGGGACTCCATGGGCTGTCCAGTCCATGAAGGTTGCCTTCAGGCACAGCTGGATCCAGGTGTCAAAGAATGTCCTCAGGAACCTGTCTTCATTTTTGAGTTCTGTTTTCCTCTGTGACCCCTTCACTCTCATGCTGGTAAAGATGAATCCCAGAAGCTCAAGCCCCATGGAAAAGTGAGCTCATTCCCACCAGTTCCAGGGAAAGTGGCCGGATTCACTTGAATCTGCCTGGCGTGGCCCAGCTCCTCATCCAGTCACTGCCACCCTCATTGCGCAGTCTCGGCAGGCATAGGGTTCTCGGAGTCATTGTTGTTTTGGGAGTTCAAAGAAGTTCACTAGCTCAGAACTCAGGTGCTGGATTCAGACAGACCTGGGCTCAGGTCTCAGGCATCCCACCGACTGTCTGGGAGACCACGGACACGTGACTGCTGTCCAGAGCCTCAGTTTCCTTATCTAGAAAATGGGACAGAAGAGAAGTCAGTGAATGTGGTGCTTGGGATCCAAATGAGAAAAGACGCTGATTGTTGAGTATTGAGGGTAAGGGGAGGGAGCCCAGGGGGAGGATGACCTGCTGGATAAGGTTCTTCTCTTGGCCACCTTTATAGTGTGAGTTGGGTCCTCTTTGTTTCTCTCCAGATCCGGAGCTCAGAGGAAGGCCTCCTGTACGAACAGGGCCTGGCGAGCACCTATGGGGGTGTGTGCTGCTGGTGGGTGGGGCCCTCGTATGCGGTCGTTCGCATCTTCCATCCCGCCTACGTCAAACCTGTGCTCTTTGCTCCAGGTAGACACCCCTCCGACCACAGCTTGCTCATCGCTGAGGTCTCTGTGCTGCCTCCAGCTGGGCAGGTGACCCAGGTGCAGACAGGAGGGGCTGTGGCGGAGACGCCACCGCCTCTGTCTCGCTTGGGCCCCCACCTGCCCCACCTCTAGTCATGTCTGCTCACACCTGGGCTGTGCCCGGGTGACATCTTCTGAATGGCCATCCCTGGTCACATGTATGTTTTCACTTGTGTCCTAGTTGCAGCTGATACATGTGTATACCTGGGCTCCAATGGAGTTGGCCTCAGTCATGTCTGGGGCTCAGCTTGGCCAGTGCCTTGGAGGCATGTTGGGGACTGTCTGGTGGTGCCTGTCTGAGATGCCATTTGAGATGGTCTGGTTTTGCTGCCGATCATGTCTGGGCCATGTTCTGCATCTGTCTGGTGTCTGAGACCCAGGGTCCCTCTAAGAAATGTCTGAGACCTTATGTGAGTCTTGTTAAGGCAGGTCCTAGGGTACGCCTGGTCACACTTGGGTCACATCTGGGACATTAGTGGGACCATGTTTAACTACTATCTGGGGCTGTCTGTGGGACACACTGAAGCCATGTCAGATTGTCTTTGCTTCCATGTCAGAATATGTTGACTGGGCCAGGGTGTGTCATGCATGTTTGAGCCATGTTGGGACATGTTAAAACGTGTTGGGGACATGTCAGATGTCCCAGCAGATATCAGAGAGTGCTGGGGAAGAAGGGGTGTCTGAGGTCCATGTAAAGGCATTTTGTAGAATGTTGTGCTGTGCTTGGGTGTGTAGAGCATGTTGGACCATGTAGGAGTCACGTCAAGGCATGCTAAAGCATGTTGTGCCATGTTGAGATGTGTCTAAGCATGTAGGAGTGTGTCTTTGCGCTCTGCCTTTGCTCTGCTCTGTGTTGCAGCCTGGCTTGGTCCCCCCTCACCTCCCCACTCCTTGCCATTTCCTCTGCCCTTGCCCCATACCTGCTATGCTGGGTTTGGAGGGGGAATGCAGACCCCTGGCTGGGAGTATCCCCTCCCCCCGACATCAAAAGTCCCTCTCCTCCCCCCTCCACGGTCCTGATGGTCCTCATTCATGTCAGCTGCTGTGGCCCCCAAGGACATGGTCTTCTACAACTTTCTGAAGCCCTGGCTGGGTGAGTCACTGAGGGAGAAGCAGGTTGGGGACACCCTTGAGGGACCAGGAGAAGGTCCTACCTTGCCCACTCCCATGGCTGCCTCTACTAGGGGATGGGCTTCTGCTGAGTGCCGGTGACAAGTGGAGCCACCACCGCCGCCTGCTGACTCCCGCCTTCCACTTCAACATCCTGAAGCCCTACATGAAGATTTTCAACGACAGCGTGAATATCATGCACGTGAGTCTCTTGAACTCAGTGAGGGTCTCAGTGGAGCCTCGGGGGTCCTGGGGGCTCAGCGGCATCTTAACTGGAATGCTGACTCTTCTGGGTAGATTTTGGGCCATTGCTCTCCCTTTCTGAGCCTCAGTTTCCTCAGCTGTGAATTGGAATAATTCCGCAGTGTGGGAAGATGACATAATGGAGTCAGGTCCCTGATACTTAGCAGGTGTTCAGAGGCATTAGTTTCTGTGCTTCCCCCACAGAGGCCTTGGTGTTCTGAGACATGATGCAGGGTAATGATGACTATTGCGCACTAACTATGGTTGAGTAACAATCCACTTCAAAACAATAAGGGTGATTATTGGCAGCCAGTCTGTGAGTCCATTGAAGGGGGTCTTCTGGATGTGGCTGTGGTCACTCATGTACCTGTGATCAGCTGTGGGGCAGCTCTGCTGTTCTGGGCTCCTGAGTTTGGGCCTTGCCTGGCTGCATGCTGACCTAGGAAGCTCCCAGCTGGGAAAACTAGACCATTTCTCTCCCTCCTTCCTGGGCACCTCAGGCTGTTCACATGGCAGAGGCAGGGTTCCAAGAGATTGAGAGGAGGCTGCGATCCCTCTTGAGATCCTGGATTAGGATCAACACCTCCTCATTCTCACCACAGTCTATTGGCCAACGCAAGTCAAAAGGCCAGCACAGAATTACATGGCGGTGCAATAGGTTCGAACTCCTAATGGTAGTTGTTGAAAAATCACATTGTGAAGAGTATGAACCTTGGACCCAGGTCTCCCGCCTCCCAGCCAGGAGCTCTTTCTGTCCTAAGAGTAATAGCTTATACTCCCACTCAAGCCTGGTTCTCCCTGGGGATGGGTGCCTGGGGCAGAGGACCAAGAGGCAGGGTCTGGGGACTCCATCAGGTGGTTGGGTTGGGGAAGGGCTCAGGGAAGACCTAGCTCGATCCTTTTCTCTGTCCAGGCCAAGTGGAAGCGCCTGGCCTCAGAGGGCAGCACCCGTCTGGACATGTTTGAGCACATCAGCCTCATGACCCTGGACAGTCTGCAGAAATGTGTCTTCAGTTTTGACAGCAAGTGCCAGGAGTGAGTCTCTTCCCAGAGCCTGGGAGCATGAGCCATGGGCCCAAGGGAGTAGATGGAGGGGGTACTGACCAGGGCAATCATAAGGGCCTTCCTGGAGGAGGTGGGCCAGGGCTGGACATTGAAGGACAAGGAAGGGGCATGAGCAAGAGTGATCCCTTCAGGTAGGTAGAACCGTTTGCTAAAGGCCAGGAGGCTGGAATGGGCAGCGTGTGTGAAACAGTGAGGAGAAGTGAAGTGAGAGGGCTCAGCAGGGGTGAGATCTTTGGGCCGTTAATAAGCCACGAAGTGGGGTATGATCTTTATCCTGAGGCATCCAGGGAGCCAGGGAAGGTGTTCGAGCAGCTGAGTGTTGTGACCCAAACGAAGCTTGGACATCTCACTCTAGAGAAGACCGATTGGATGGTGTTGACTTGGATGCAAGGAGACTGGGGACGGGGCTGGGCCTGTTGGCCAATGAGGAGAGGATGAAGTCTGAGCTGTGTGGAAAGTCTAGGGAAGGGGAAGGGCAGATACTGGGGAGGAGAGAGAGGAGAGAAGCATGATGTCTAAGCTGTGCTCTGGGTGCCTGGGCATGGAGGCCGCTCAGGGAGAGTCATGTTTCTGGATCATCCCCACCAGGTATCTGCAGAGCCATCTGTTCCTGGCTTCTCAGTTCCCTAGTGGAGTTCGCTCCTGGCTTCTGGTGGGAGGACCACCTCAGGCTTTAAGTGAACTAAGTTGTTGCTTCCCTCCCTGCCTCATCCTGCAGGAGGCCCAGCGAATATATTGCCGCCATCTTGGAGCTCAGTGCCCTGGTGACAAAACGGGTCCATCAGCTCTTCCTGTACATAGACTTCCTGTACTACCTCACCCCCGATGGACAGCGCTTCCGCCGGGCCTGCCGCCTGGTGCATGACTTCACAGACGCCGTCATCCAGGAGCGGCGCCGCACCCTCCCTGACCAGGGTGTCGAGGACTTCCTGAAGGCCAAGGCTAGGACCAAGACTTTGGACTTCATCGATGTGCTCCTGCTGACCAAGGTGGGCTTCTGTGGCATCTGAATTGCAAAGGAAGAATGGACCTCGATTTCAAATGTCCAATTGAAGAGCTTGGATTTGATGCAGAGGGCACAGGGGAGCCATGGAGGGTGCTTGAGGAAGGGGGGGATAGTCAGGGATGAGTTTTAGCGGTGACTGTGTGCAGTGTAGCCTGTAGGGGATTGCTAAGTTTGAAACTGTGAAGGGCCTGAGGTTTTATTCTACTTCCAACTTAATAAGTTAGTCTACCATGAATATATATACTATTACTCATAGCAGTAATAGGAGCCAGGTTAGAACTATAGCCCTGGTTCCCCACTCCCACATTCTTCTCAGGGCTACATGATATGTTTACCATGTGCTTGCATCACAGGAGAGGTCCTGTGCCTTTTGAATCTTAGAACTTACACGGGACAGCTGACACATCTGCCCTTTCTTCAGTAGGTGGGGGGAGGAGGAGGAGAGAGAGGGGAGGAGGAAGAAGAAGGAGGAGGAGGTTATTATGGTTTCGGCGCATAAACAAATCCTTTGAGAAGGCAAAGTCTACAGGTTGTATAGATTTATAACCCATTCCTCATCTCCAGCGAAGATAGAGCCTCTGGATTGACCTTCCTAGAGTGCGAGCCACTGGCTCTGGAGCAATGCTCACTTTCTAATTTCCAAGGCCATTCAATCATCTGTAACCCAGCTTGCCAGTATCTTTTTTTAAATTAGAAAGCCCTCATCACCAGGAGGCAATGAGGCCAAGGAGGAGGCCGGTGGGTCAAGGCCTCTTGGTGCTGGTGAGAAAGGGAGGTCAGGATTGCAGTGTGGGCTTAGGTTTCTGAATGGATGATGGCACTTCAGAGGTTGCCTCAGGGGCCGGCAGAGCTGCTGTGATCTGGGGAGTCTTGCTTTCTCTCCAGGATGAAGATGGGAAGGAATTGTCAGATGAGGACATCCGAGCTGAAGCGGACACCTTCATGTTTGAGGGTGAGGGCCCCAGTGTGGGAGGACAGAGGGGGCAGGGGTCTGTCTACCTCAGGGGCTCGGCAGGGGGCCCTGGACCACCTCATCCCTCCCACTCCTCCCCGGCCTCCCTGAGGGCCTTCACATAAGGGCACAGCCCACCTTCTGGTGCCAGAGACCCAAGCCTGTCTGACTGCCTCCCAGGCCATGACACCACAGCCAGCGGCCTCTCCTGGGTCCTGTACAACCTCGCAAGGCACCCAGAATACCAGGAGCGCTGCCGGCAGGAGGTGCAACAACTCCTGGGGGACCGTGAGCCTCAAGAGATTGAATGGTGAGTGCAGGTCCTCCTGGCCTCTTCCTGAGCCCCTCTCATTGGCTCTGCCCCCAAAGTGGGGAAGAGGGAAGATCTTTTGGTTGATTCTGTCATTGCGTCCTCCCATTTAGTGGGAATGGAAGCAGAGTTCAAAGGCAGGGTCTGGAACCAGCCTGGATAGCAGGACAAAGCTTACAGGCTTTGGGGACAGAAAGATCAGGGCTGCTGAGAAAATTAGGGACAATGTGTGAGGGAATTTCAGCAAGTTATCTTCTCCTTCACTCCCTTCCTTTCCTCTCTGATATCACTTTTTTTTTTCAAGTATCTTCACGACCTGAATATTTACTTATCTCTTGCCTCCTAATTCCTTCCATATTGTTTAGTCCAGGATTCACAGGGGACCCCTAGGCACAAAGCCACTCAACTCTTGCCCAGTTACACCTGAATCTCCCCCATCCAGTCCCTCTTCAACAGACACTGCCACACTGCCCCCCATCTCCACCTCGGTGCCATCTCCAATTCTCCCCGGCCCCCTTCTGCGTCCTGGGGGCCCAGGAAGGACCCAGCCAGCCTTTGCCTTCTGGGAGCTCCCAGCCTGGGCGGGAACAGTCCCAGCTCAGGGCCCAGAGTTGACAGTAGGATGGGCCAGGCTGAGGGCGGAAAGAGTGTGTCCGCTGTGACCCTGAATGCTGATCAGTAGATGTTTGCATGGATCTACTGACCTGGCCCAGTTAGGTAAAAAGAGACAGTCCTGGCAAAGCAAGGGAGTCGGGGAGAAGGGCAGAGGGAGAGGGAGGGTGAAGATGGAAGGAAGGGGAGGGAAAGGAGAAGGAAGGAGGAAGGAAGAGAGGGAGGGAGACAAGAAGAGAGAGATGTGGAAGGCTTTGAAAGCAATGTTAATGGCTTCCATTTTAACCCAAGGACATTGAGGGACCACAGGAAGTGTTTGTGCAGGAGCAGGGCAGGGCAGATCTGGGTACCAGAGGGATCTTTCCAGGGCTAGTGTGGGAGACACTGGAGAGGACCAGCCGGCGCCTGGGGCCCAGGAAGGATGTTCTGGGCCTTCGCCAGGCCAGGGGCTGGAGGTGGTGAGGAGGTTTGAGGCTGGACAGGCATGTGGGAGGTAAAGGTCTCTACTCCAAGCCTTTGCTCAGCACAGCAGTCCTGTAGGTGAAGAAACATGTTCATGCTTTTTCAACCGAGACTCCAAACAGATTCATGCACTTAAAGAGAAAAGATTACAAAAGAGTTTATACTAAAAATGAACTTCCGCTCTAGCCGGTTTGGCTCAGGGGATAGAGCCTCGGCCTGAAGACTGAAGGGTCCCAGGTTTGATTCCAGTCAAGGGCACATGCCAGGGTTGCAGGCTCGATCCCCAGTAGGGGGTGTGCAGGAGGCAGCCAATCAATGTTTCTCTCTCATCATGTTTCTATCTCTCCCTCTCTCTTCCTCTCTGAAGTCAATAAAAATATCTTTTAAAAAATAAATAAACATTCTTCTTAATCCTCACCCTAGGAGTAACTTCCACGAGTAATTTCCTGTGTGTCCTTTCAGGGGTAGTGTTTTATAGTTTTCCAATTGTGAACCAGTTAACTATATCAGCTATTGAAAATGTAATTCATCGCACAAAAAGAAGGGGATTAAAGAAAAAGAATTTAGCTCTTTACTGGATCTTCAATATTTATAATTTTCCAGTGGATTCTCTTGTGTTTTCTAAATATGAAATCACTATCTGCCAAAAATGGCACATTTACCTCCCACATTCAAGTTATATTACTCTCCTTTTATACCCTTGCCTAACTGCATTAGCTACTCTCTCTAGCACCGTGATAAGTAACATATTGGATCTCTGTGTTTTTTTCTTTCTTACTCATTTGCCTTTTGATTTGGCTTTCTTGCCATAAAGAATATATATATTTTAAAATACATTTTATTGATTTTTTACAGAGAGGGAGGGAGAGGGATAGAGAGACAGAAACATCTATGGGAGAGAAATATCGATCAGCTGCCTCCTGCACACTCCCTACTGGGGATGTGCCCGCAACCAAGGTACATGCCCTTGACCAGAATCTAACCTGGAACCCTTGAGTCCACAGGCCGATGCTCTATCCACTGAGCCAAACCGATCAGGGATAAAGAATATTTTTTTAATGCAAATTTGTAAACCTTGTTATGGTTGGCGTTCTTGTGTTGTGTTGCTCAGAAAAACCTCTAACATTTTCTCTAGTAAATGGTACACTGGGTTTGTGACACTGGTTTTCTCTTTGAATTTTAAACCACTTTATGGAAGTGTGATCGACATACAAAAAGCTGTACCCATTTAATGTGCACAACCTAATGAGTCTGGAGCTATTCGGTCCACCTGGAACTGATTATCTCACACAGCGAGAGCTCATGGAGCTGGGAGGGGTCTGGTTCTGCTGTGGGTGGGTAACCGTGTGGGTCCTTAGGGACGACCTGGCCCAGCTGCCCTTCCTGACCATGTGCATCAAGGAGAGCCTGCGCCTGCACCCCCCGGTCACCGTCATCTTCCGCTGCTGCACCCAGGACATCACGCTCCCGGATGGCCGCGTCATCCCCAAAGGTGCTGGCCGTGACGGGGGGAGGAGCCACCTGGGGGGAGGAGCCACCCGGCAGGAAGAGGGCCCATCAGGCCAGGCCTCCTCCTGACGGCCCACCCTCCCCCCTCCCACAGGCGTCACCTGCCTCATCAGTATTTTTGGGACCCATCACAACCCATCCGTGTGGCCAGACCCCGAGGTGCGGCCTCCCCCTTCCCTCATCCTTGTCCACTCCCTTTGGGGGATGGGGGGGGGAGCTGGGCTCTGACCTGGCAAATCAGACATGACTGTCCCCCCACCCGCCCCCATCACACACTGGCTGCCTCTCCAGGGCGGGCTGTCGGGAGACCCCACCCAGCAGCCCCGTCTTGGTCTCGCCCTCAGGTCTATAACCCTTTCCGCTTCGACCCAGAGAACAGCAAGGACAGGTCACCTCTGGCTTTCATTCCCTTCTCTGCGGGGCCCAGGTGAGGGCAGCGGCATTGGAGGAGGAGGCGGGAAGGGGTGATGGGGCAGGATCTGGGGCTGATGTCCCAGAGGACAGTGAGGGCCGGGAAGGGGGGATGAAGAAGGTCAGAGCCGGTCTCTCCTTCCCTTCCCTCCCCCGAGGTGATGGGGGTTGGGTGGGTGCAAGGAAGGGACCCCATGTGCTCAGAGCCCCTTCCGCCTGCTTGCTGCTCCGAGTTTGCTGGAGCCAGGGGATCTGCCAGCCTGCACGGGGTCCCAGGCATGGCCGCCCCTTCCGCATCCCGGGCACAGCAGCCCCTTCCCCATCCCGGGCACAGCAGCCCCTTCCCCATCCGGGGCACAGCAGCCCCTTCCCCATCCCGGGCACAGCAGCCCCTTCCCCATCCCGGGCACAGCAGCCCCTTCCCCATCCCGGGCACAGCAGCCCCTTCCCCATCCCGGGCACAGCAGCCCCTTCCCCATCCCGGGCACAGCAGCCCCTTCCCCATCCCGGGCACAGCAGCCCCTTCCCATCTCCGCGGGCGTGGATGGGGGTCTTGGGCCAGAACCCGGGCGCATTCCGAGTCCCTCTCCCTCTGGCCCCCAGGAACTGCATCGGGCAGACGTTCGCCATGGCCGAGATGAAGGTGGTCCTGGCGCTCACGCTGCTGCGCTTTCGCGTCCTGTGTGACCCAGGCGGAGCCGCGCAGGAAGCCCGAGATCATCCTGCGCGCAGAGGGCGGCCTCTGGCTGCAGGTGGAGCCGCTGAGCGCAGGCCCACAGTGACCCTGCGCTGTCTGGCCTGGGAGCCACCCAGACCCTACACACCTCCCCTTGCAGGTTCCCAGGAAAAGAACTGTGCTGTCACCTCTGCTTCAGCCTCACTGAGTCTGCAGCTGGCGCTTGGGCCTGCGGGGACCCAGGGAGCGGGTGAGGCTGGCTGGAGGGTCTGGTGTCTCCAGCCGACCACAGGGCCCACACTAATCGCGGGCTCTCCCTGAGCCCAAGCACGGACTTTATAGCCTGGGTAGTGGGGAGCCATGGGAGGTGTTTGAGCAGGAAGGAACCAGGTCGAAGGATGGATCTAAGGGGCACATTTGAGGCCCTGAGTCACACAGGAGAACCCAACGTGACGCTACACACACTGGCCACCCTGACCTCAGTTCTGATCTCCTAACATACCCAGTCTTTTCTCACCTCAGAATCCTTCACGATGTTCCTATGGTTACCCTGTTACAATGTTTACTAAACATGACAAGCCCGATTGCCTTATAGGTTGTGCCTGATCATTGCAATAACGGTATCTGTTATAGTGTCCGTTGTTTCTGCTGATTTTCATGCATAGGGTCAGGGTTCTTGTGTGTCTAATTATCTTTTCCTGGATAATGGCTATCATATTTGAAATGATATTTGTAGAATTTGGAGAAGGCAGCTTTCTGTGAGAAGAGTCCTGGGAGCTCTGCTGGTTGAGGATTAAGTGAAATGAGAGGCCCAGTGCATGAATTTGTGCACCAGTGGGGTCCCTCAGCCTGGCCTGGGAGATTGGGCCAAAACTGGCCCTCAGACATCCCTGGAGGGGTCCCAGATTGTGAGAGGGCGCAGGCCAGGCCGAGGGACCCTACTGGTGCAAGATCAGGTCGGGGAGGGATGAGGGAGGTTGTCCAGCCAGGGAGGGACCTCCGGAGAGCTCCAGGGTGAGTCTGGCCTGTCTTGCTCAGTCCCTGGCTGGACCCCAGCAGCAAGCTAACCTACCGGTCATAGCGTCTGCCCCCTGTTGGTCAGTGCATGTCATAGTGAGCGGTTGAGCGCCCCTAGCATATCACTAGCATATTACGCTTTGATTGGTTGAACAGATGACCGGACACTTAGCATATTAGGTTTTTATTATATACGATGAAGTTCAAGGTTACTAAGGCACTTGCTGGTTCTTTCATTTCTGTCTGCTCTCACCCTAAGAGGTGTAGCTTTCTGAGGCCTCCACTATGGGAGGAGAGTCTTCTTACAATCTCCCCTCCTTGTGCTATCCTGGACTTTGATTTTCTTCCCCCACCAGATAATCAAAACAGAATTTCACATTTTCCTGACTTGGGAAATGCTTCCAGAACAAAAGTATAATTGATGTTCATTTTATCTCTAGGTTTCTATTTTCATTTAGCAGTGTCTTTATACCTCTTTACCATATTTTCATGTCATTTACTCATTTAAGAAATTGAAAAAGTACCCAGCATTAGGAGTTGTTTTTTAAAAAGCTTGAAGTTTGATCCAAATAACCTAGCTTGCCATGAATAGAAACAGAAAGTCTCCATTGGGATTTTAAATAGTCATGATCCAGTTACTACTTCAGGGTGATAACTGTCTTCAGGTGCATAGAGTTGCAGACCACGAAAGCCCACATCAGGATTTAAGGGAGAGGACTGCACGTCACCCCGAGATGCTGGATTTTGAGACAAATGGAGGGAGCAGGTGGATGGGGTTGACTCCCTTGGGAATGTTGTGTGTTCCTTGTATAGAAGAATGACACACAATGGATGTTTTTGTTGTTGTTGTTAATCCTCACCTGAGGATATTTTTTCCGTTGGTTTTTAGAGAGGATGGAGGAAGGAGAAGGGACACAGAGAGAGAAACATCGATTTGAAAGAAACACATTGTTTGGTTGCCTCCCGCAGACGCCTTGACCAGGGCAGGGATCAAGCCCGTATCCAGGTCTGTGCCCTTGGCCAGAATCAAACCCTTCAATCTGGGCCCAAAGCTCTAACCACTGAGCAAACTGGCTAGGGCCACATTGGATTTTTAAAAAAATATATATTTTATTGTCATGATTTTTTTTAATATATATATTTTATGATTTTCACAGAGAGGAAGGGAGAGAGATAGAGAGAGTAGAAACATCGATCAGCTGTCTCCTGCACATCCCCCACCGGGGATGTGCCCGCAACCCAGGTACATGCCCCTGACCAGAATCGAACCCAGGACCTCTCAGTCCGCAGGCTGACGCTCTATCCACTGAGCCAAACCGGTTTCGGCATCATTGATTTTTTACAGAGAGGAAGGGAGAGGGATAGAGAGCCAGAAACATCGATGAGAGAGAAACATCGATCAGATGCCTCCTACACACTCCCCACTGGGGATGTGCCAGCAACCAAGGTACATGCCCTTGACTGGAATCGAACCTGGGACCCCTCAGTCTGCAGGCCGACGCTCTATCCACTGAGCCAAACTGGGCAGGGCAACACATTGGATGTTTTGATAGTCAACAGGATGGACAGTGTCTGTGAGGGCTAATTGTGTATCCTGATATCCACTTCTACCCTCTTGGAATCCCTAGTTTTTAGCCAGGTGGATGGCAGACTGAAGTACAGGTTATCATTGAAAGCTTTTCTTGCAGCTGGATTGGTTAAATGGCCATGTCCTGTCCCATATGGAGAAAGCAAAGCTTATGTGGTCATTCTGGAAGCCTTCCTTAAGAGAAATCTGGAACACTGTCTCTGCCCAGTCCTTCCCCCTCCTCCTCCTGCTGCTTGGAGCCTTGATGGGGTGCTGGAGCTCCATCCTGGGCCATGAGGACAGGACCACTCTTTAATGAAGGGGGAGCAGGCAGCTGGAACAGTCAGGGTCCGATGACCCTGGATCCACCACGCCCTGAGGTCATGCTCCCAAGGTCACAACCCCAGTCTGCTATTTACTAGCTGTTTGGCTTGGGGAACATCATTTCTCTCTAAGCCTCAGTTCTTTTACTATCCTATAGAATAAAGAAATAATATGAAAATTGACCATCGCTCCCTCGCACAAGATGGCTACCCCCATGTGGTCAAAGATGGCCACCACAAGATGGCCAGCAGGGGAGGGCAGTTAGGGGTGACCAGGCCTGCAGGGCAGGGCAGTTGGGCGCACAGGGCCAGCTAGGGAGGTCAGTTGGGAGCGACTGGTCCAGCTGGGAGCAGTTAGGCGTCAATCAGGCTGGCAGGGGAGTGGTTAGTGGGTGATTGGCTGGCAGGCAGAAGCGGTTAGGGGCAATAAGGCAGTCAGGCAGGTGAGCAGTTGGGAGCCAGCAGTGTCAGATTGTGAGAGGGATGTCCGACTGCCGGTTTAGGCCCGATCTCACAGGCAGTCGGACATCTCCCAAAGGGTCCCAGATTGGAGAGGGTGCAGTCTGGGCTGAGGAACACCCCCCCTCCCCCCCCAGTGCACAAATTTCATGCACTGGGCCTCTAGTCTATATGCATAAACACCTGT